GATGGAGATTTACTACTAATCACAGAACCGGCTTTACTGACAAGATGCGCATGACTATCACATTCGATTAATCGTGCAGCCCTAACCTATCCCATTAATATAAATTGTGTACTTCCCTTGTACTTAAATTGTGCAATGCTTATTTCCTATAATAAGTAGTTTATTGCGATTTGTACTTGTACGTGTTGAAATTTCTGTGAGACAAAGCTGAATTTTCAGCATCATTACTCCAGTCTTCAGTGTCTCATGATTCTTCAGAAATCATTCTGATATGCTGATATGCTACTCAAAAACATTTCTTAAGAATTTCCTAGAATAAGTAGCTTATTTTGATTTGTACTTGTTTTTCTTAGACAAAAACTCCTCTGCCTGCTGGTACCATCCTGAAACTGGTCACATCTGCTGATGGCAAGCCCACCACAATCATTACAACTTCACAGGCAGGAGGGGCTGGCACCAAACCCACTATTCTGGGCATCAGCACTGTCTCTCCAACTACCGCCAACAAACCAGGAACCACCATTATTAAAACCATTCCCATGTCTGCTATCCAACAAGGAGCAACAGGTTTGTTTCACATCTGACTCTTCATCTCATTTGTAATTGTGCAACATTTAAAGAGCTTTTAGTTAAATTATATCTCACTTTTGCTCTCCAAGTTAAGGCACACAACTTCACATTGTTTATATATAACTGACAGATCTGTTTTTTACACCTTGTTGCAAGCTCACATGATTTCCTGATATTATTTCCGGTCTCATTATTAGGTCTGACTAGCAGCCCTGGCGTCAAGTCCCCCATCCAAATTTTCACCACTAAGGTTGTTACTCCTGGCACGGGTACTCCAGGGAAAATCATAACAGCTGTGCCAAAACTGACTGGTGCAGGACAACAGGGGGTCACACAGGTGAGGCCCGTTTGAACTCCGTACACACAAAGCATATCCATGCATCATTTTAAGCTCATCTAGTATTTTGTGTGGTCCCTGAATATTTGATTTGCTCTCAGGTGGTCCTGAAGGGGGCGCCAGGGCAGCCCGGCACTATCCTGCGCACTGTGCCTATGGGTGGAGTGCGTCTGGTTTCACCAGGCACTGTGTCCGCTGGCAAACCAACTGTTACCACACTGGTTGTCAAAGGCACCACAGGTAGGAATATTTAGTCTGTAAACTTTCTCTGCAGTGTGCTTTTATACAAATTACAGAGAAGTTGTTGTTCTTGATATCTGTGCCTCGTTAATAATGCCTTCTCTGAATTTAGGAGTCACAACTCTGGGTACAGTAAGTGGTACTGTATCGACTAGTGTGGCAGGGGCCAATGTGGCAAGCGCTAACGCCAGCCTGGTGACTCCAGTCACCACACTTGCCTCCATCGCCACATTGTCCAGCCAGGTGATCAGTCCCTCAGCCATCACTGTATCTGCTGCCCGTACCAATGTCGCCACCGCTACAATAGTGAGTCACACATTATTATTATTATTGTATGCGTTTTTAAAGAAATTAATACTATTATTCAGCTGGGATGCATTAAATTGATCAAAAGTGAGAGTAAAGACATTTATAGTGTTACAATAGCTTTTGATGATTTCAGATGAATGCTGTTCTTTTGAACTTTGTTTATCGAAGAATCCAGAAAAAATGTATCCGATTCCACAAAAATATTCAGCACTACTGTTTTCAACATTGAAAATAATAAGAAATGTTTCTTCATCTGCTTTGCATCACAGAAATAAATGACATTTTAAATATTCAATAGAAAATTGTAAATAATTTGAATAATGTTTTAAATTGTAATAATATTTAACTGTTTTTGTTGTATTTATCATTAAATAATTGCAGCCTTGATGAACGTAAGAGATTTCTTTCAAAAACGTTTAAACATAAAAATAAACATTACAAAATAGGTAATAAATTATAATTACTTATACACTGTTTAAAAGTTTGGGGCAGGTGAGACTGTTTATTTTTATTTATATAAACAAATATAAGTAATAATAATATAATTATTTACAATAATTCATTTATCCATTCCTTTTGATGTGCATAATTATTGGGGACTGGAGCTTTCTTGAATTTCTGTGTTTTTTTTGTTTCGTTTTTTACTTTTAGTCAGCAGCACAGCCTACTCAAGTAACCCTGATCACGACTCCAAGTGGTGCTGAGGCCCAGCCTGCACAGGATCTTCCTGTCTCCATCCTGGCCTCTCCCACCTCAGAGCAGCCGTCCACCACAGGTGCTGATGCTGGTGACGGCGCTGGCGATGGTGCTACCACCGTGACACTGGTCTGCTCCAACCCTCCGTGTGAGACACATGAGACCGGAACGACCAACACTGCGACGACGGCTTCTGCCAAAATGGGCACCGAACAGATTTGTTCCAACCCTCCATGTGAGACGCACGTGACGGGCACCACCAACACAGCAACCACGGCCTCTGCGAACATGGGCAGAACACAGCAGGTGTGCACCAACCCACCCTCAGAAACCCATGACACGGGCACCACCAACACAGCCACCACTGCCAGCTGCGACATGGGATCTAAAGAGATGGGAACCGTGAACAGCAAGACGCCGTCATCTTCACCAGGTACGTCTTCAGCTTCTGGTTCAGAACCAGCAACACCCGTCTCAGAGAGCAGTGCTGGACCGGGCACCATGCGGCCGGAGGGTCTCCGCACGGGCACCACCAACACAGCCACCACTGCCAGCTGCGACATGGGATCTAAAGAGATGGGAACCGTGAACAGCAAGACGCCGTCATCTTCACCAGGTACGTCTTCAGCTTCTGGTTCAGAACCAGCAACACCCGTCTCAGAGAGCAGTGCTGGACCGGGCACCATGCGGCCGGAGGGTCTCCGCACGGGGACCACCAACACCTCCACTACCGCCCGCTCAAACATGGGCTCCGACCAGACGGGAACGGTGCAGAGCTCCGACAAGAGCCAGGCCGCCATCTCCTCTGCGTTGATGCCTGTTTGCGCCAACTCTTCCAGCGAAACGAACGAGGCGGGCACCACAGGCACTTCACCTGTGTCTGGTGATGTCCAGCAGGTCTGCTCAAACCCTCCCTGTGAGACACACGAGACGGGCACGGCCAATACGGCTACGCAGTCGAGCTCTAGTATGGGCAGTGGGCAAACCAATGTTGTGCAGAGGGTGTGTTCCAATCCGCCCTGTGAAACCCACGAAACGGGTACCACAAACACGCCGACCCAGGCCTCATCTTCTATTGGTGCTGGACAGAATGGCACTGTTCAAATGGTGTGTTCCAATCCTCCCTGTGAAACCCACGAAACTGGTACCACCAACACGCCAACTCAGGCCTCATCTTCTATTGGTGCTGGACAGAACGGTGCTGTGCAGAGGGTGTGCTCCAATCCGCCCTGTGAAACCCACGAAACGGGTACCACCAACACGCCAACTCAGGCCTCGTCTTCTATTGGTGCTGGACAGAACGGCGCTGTGCAGAGGGTGTGCTCCAATCCGCCCTGTGAAACCCACGAAACGGGTACCACCAACACGCCAACTCAGGCCTCGTCTTCAATCGGTGCTGGACAGAATGGTGCTGTGCAGAGGGTGTGTTCCAATCCGCCCTGTGAAACTCACGAGACCGGCACCACCAACACAGCCACGACAGCAACAAGCAGCTTAGAAACTGGAGAAGTAACAGGTATTTATCTGTACAAAACCTGAAGATTATTTTTTGTGCGCACACATGAACATTATAATATATTAAGTATATGTTTATCCTTAATAATACAAAATTTTGTATTCGCTTTTAAAAGGGAATGTATTTTTCAGCACAGTTGGCAGATGCATTTAATCCACTCATGTTTTCATGTGTTATAGCTTGTAGAAGAGAGACTTTGTAGTATATGTAACCAGAGGGTTATTTATTTATTTTTGTCCCAACTTGTCACTGATCTCTTGTGCCGCTGATCTCATTAGCCAGACATTAAAATCGGTTAATAAAAGGGCTGCAAATCAAGTGTAAATAAAAAACAAAAAGGGGCTCCAAAGCAATAATATAATGATTCTGTTAAATATAAAATTATTGTTGTTGGTTGTTAGTATTTCTATTTTTATTATTAATTATTAGGGATGCTCCGATCTGCCTTTTTTGCCTCTGATTCCGATACCTAGGGTTCGGTATTGGCCGATACCGATTCCGATCCGATACCAGTTAAGTTTTTTTTCCCTCATTTAAATAAATGTAGAATTTATATATCTCTGTGTGTGGAACTGATAATCATTCTTTCACAATCTACAAGATACAGACTACTTCATTATAAAGAAAAAGAAAATAAACAAATATGAAAAAATATAGGCCTATGTATATTTATAATCTATGACAAAAATTTATCATAAACTAGGCTAGTGGATAATTCGGCAGCAAAAGTTATTCTAGAAAAATCAGTGCACAATAATTTTAGAATTGGTGAAAAAACAATATTTTGTGGGGAACAAATAAAAGTGTTGCACTAAATATGGTAAAATGTTACACATTGCTATTTGTATTATTATAAAATCCATTCATTAAAAACATTCATGAATGTATTTATATATAAGCATATACTATAAAATTAAAATACATTTATTTTAATTGTATAGCATATTTTTTAATAAGGCAACAACATATGATAGATACGATAGGACAAAACAAATACAGTGCAGCACAAACTGTTTTTATACAGTCAACCCTCAACGGACACCTTGGCAATTGAATCGCCATTGGCTAGTATATTTTTTTGTTTACTCGCCAGACTGAAATACTATACTATATATATATACCGATACCCGATATGAATATCGGATCGGCGCATCCCTATTAATTATATGGTGGTAATTGTATTTTTTTATTTGCTTTCAAAAGTGAAGGTATTATGTATTTATTATTAGTAATTATGAAATTATTATTAGTATTAGTGTTAATAATAGCAATAATTATTGTAGTAATAATACATTTATTTATTTGCTTTTAAAAGAGAACATATTCGTATTTTAAGTTCCATGGGCAGATTTTGTTTTTTTTTTTATATATAAAAATGTATTTACTCATCGGTGTATAAAGTATGTGTAATCAAAGGTACATTATATTATTTGTATATTTAATTTTTCCATGTTTTTTTGTTCGTCTGTGTTTGTCCTTTTAGCCCAGCAGGCCGGTGATGGACAGAGTGACAGCGGCACCAGCTCAGAACCCTCATCATCTACAGAACCAGCCAATCCCACAACACAAAGCAGAGCCATCACAACAGTAACACAGGCCACGCCCACTCCAGGACCATCAGTACCGGTACAAACACACCTCTAATCTGATCAGCTGGCTTTATGTGGATTTCCTGTAGCCAACATCCCTGTATATTCCACTTTACTCAAAGTTACTAGGAAAGTCATTTTACATACACACAGTCCTTTCCTGTCTAATTGGGAGCGTCTTTTCCAGAATAAGCTGTAGTGTAAAGCACGTTTGCTGATAGTCATGCAAAGTTTTTACAGATGCATGAATTCTGTTCTTATGCATGCAAAAAAATGCTCTAGGTTAAGATGTTTTGTTGTCATTCTCATGTTCTGATTGTGGTTTCTCCACAATGCAGGAGATTTCATCCATGGCTGGATCTGCGGTAGTGGCTGAGGTCCCAGGAGAGGCCGAGGCCATGGAGCAGACCAGCGCTGAGGCCGTGGCAGCGGGAGAAGAGCCCATGCAGACCGAGTGTCAGGGAGAGCTGGGTGAAGAGGGAGCCATTAGGGTTGTTGCCATAGATGAAAGTGCAGCCGGTGAGGAGGGCACCATGCTACAGGTTCATGTCGCCATGGAAGCACAGCCAGGTCAAGGAGATCAGGCTGAGGTAAGGAACTTTTTGGCAAGTCACCTTTATTTATTTAGTGCATTTTACAGTGTAGGCTGTCGCTGAAATGATGGGCTATCCTCCTGGAGTACTGTCTTTCTGTGCCACATGATTATGGCGTTATTTTACTGCCAAATATTTTACTGTTGTAGCACGAAAGTACATTGCTATGATGCGCGAGCGCGAATCTCTCCGCTCACGCATGGATTTCCTTTGCTCTCGCACTAAACCGGACACGTGCTCTCAGATATGCGCTGCTCTCTCCCAGAAAGTGTGTGCGCACTTAAAACGTGTCCATTGCAATCGCGAATCTCGCCTCGTGCTCAAACTGTGTCCTTTGCACTCGCAAATCTCTCAGTGCTCTTGCGCTAGAAATTAATTATTTTCGCACCTGGATTAAACATTGTCAAAAGTTATAAACAAATCAGAATTCCATGACTGACCGATTAAAATGGTACGTGAAATCTAATTAGCTGGAATTCTTTTGACAATCAAAGATGGATCTTTAATTTCGTTACAATTTAATATTTAGTCATATTAATCAAAAGTATATTAGAAATGGCTGGGATTGGGGTGCTTGGATGATTTGTGCAAATAAATAACCTAGTAATCTGTCTGTCTAACTGGTTGGTCAAACCCCTCTATAACACAATAACTGCTGTGATAGAATCGCTGTTTGGACATTTATTGGGAGTTTTTTTTTTCATCCAGTGTTTGTTTTCAGTTCTGATTTTAGTTCTGACCCACTTCATATCAGCTATACACATTCAATAGCACTCTGCTCTAAGACAGTGGAAATACAGTTATATTAGAGTAACAGATAAATACATTGTCTGCAAATTCATTAAACCCATGGAATATAATGATGTTATGACAAATATGAGAAATTCATTATGGTGGTAGGTAGACTTGTGCCGGTATTCGGTAATGCGATATATCACGGTAATGAATATGCACGATATTGTTATCGTGCAGGTGGCGGCAAGTCACTGATTTGATCATTGAATCATTCATTCAATTTATTAATTCGAACGGCTGATTCATTCAGGAATGAAGCAAGTGACTGTTTTTATGCATGGGTAATCATGAATCACTGACTCACTAGATTCGTTTTAAAAACCCCGTTCATTCATAAACGAAACACCGCTGTGTTTGAATGGAGATTAGGGGTCGACCGATATGTGTTTTTCAAGGCCGATACCGATTATTACAGATCAAGTAGACCGATAACCGATATTTTGAACCGATATATATGTCTGGTGTAA